TTTTTGCATCATCATATCATTAACTACCTCATTAGCCACCATAACAGCATCAAGGATTTGCCTTCTTTCCACAAATGCATTATGGTTCTCCCCAATAATTTCGCCCAATACCTTGGACATTCTTCTAGGCATAACTTTAGAGATCATTTTATACATACTACCTACCAGACTAATCGGTTTGAAATCTTTTATGTTACATGCTCCAATAATTTTTGGGATAATAACTAAGAAAGTTGTGTTAATAGATTGGACAAAAACTCCAGTTATGTGAAAGTCATGAAATACAACCATGATATCATATTTAATGACAGCTCAAAAATTTTGGAAAAACTTCATATGGAATCTATCCGGTCCCGGGGCTTTGTTGCCATTGCATTGCCCCAAACAGTTCAGAATTTCCTCCTCCGTAATCGACACCTCCAGGCTCTCCTTGCTGCCATTCGATAGTTGCCTAAAAGGAAGCTCATCCAGTCTTGGTCTCTTCTCCTCCTCTTCTGTATAAAGTTTAGTGAAGTAATCCTTAGCTTTCTTCCTCAAGGCAGCATTACCCCTAATAGTATTCTCACCAAACTCCAGCTCCCCAACATAGTTGTTCTTCCTCCTAAAATTTGTCAAACTATGAAAATATTTTGTATTTCTATCACCTTTCTTAATTCACCTCTCTCTAGCCTTTTGCCTCTATGAAATTGCCTCCAAGTTCATCTTGGCAGCAATTTCCAATTTTAATTCCCCTCTCCTCTCCCTTCCCCCTCCCCCTAACAGCCCATCCATCTCCAAACGGTCCAACTCACCCAGCTCCTGTAAACTGACATTGAGAATTTTGTCGGATCTGCCCTCCTCCTCCTTAGCCCATTTTTTAGTCTCTAACTTCAACCTCTTCAATTTGGAAGCAAACACATAACTGGCCGTACCTTACCTCTTTCATTCTTCTGTCTCCACACATCCTCCACTAGCTTCCTGAAACCCTCCAACTTTAGCCATTTGTTATCCAGTCTGAACAAACCCGGACCCCAAATGATACCATCGGAGATAATGCAAATAAGAAAGTGATCAGAAATAGGTCTTTGTAATACCTTTCGGCTTAATCTTGCAAAATGCATAAGCAAACCATTGGAAATAAAAAACCGGTCGATTCCGAACCGATAGACCACGTCCCCTTTTCCCCTATCAGCGGATCCACCAACTCAAGCTTATCCATCCACTCTCTAAACTCCTCGATTTCCCTTTGATTAACATTCTCCTCTGATCTCTCCCCACCAATCACCCAATGGTCACCCCACTTTACTTTGCAATTCATGATCTCATCCCATAAATTATTTGTCTCCTCCGTGGAACCTCTATAATAGATTCCTGAAAAAGCCCAATCATTCCCCCTGCCGCTCCATTCAAAAAGGCATGAAATAGAGACCTCACAGCCTCTTTACATTTCATTTTATCTTCATCCCACATCATCAGAATGCCCCCAGCCATCCCCACAGCCGGAAGATGGACACAATCGATTATGCCATCCTTCCAAAGCCTGTTAATCACTTGGTGGTTGACCTCCTCCATCTTAGTTTCTTGCAGACGCATAACATCAGGCTTCCATCTTCTGATATATCCTTTGATAACCCATCTTTTTTCTTATCATTCAAACCCCTCACATTCCAAGAAATTGTTTTTCCTATCATGGAAACAATTTCAACAACTGAACTCCCTCTTCCTTCCCACAGCTCTTCCTTCTTTCATAATTGACAGACTACTACAATCTTTTTAGCTCTCGGCTTCTTCCCTCCCCTTGCTTCTTTTTGCTTTCTTCACTGTTTTTCTCTCCTTTCCTTCCTCCATAAATTTGGTTTCTATTTCTTCAAATAGAGAGAGTATTATGTTTTTTAGACCATGAAAAGACACACTCAATCAAAATATTGCTTCTCCAAGCTTCCCTCTTCCGATAGAGCCATCGGTGTATAAATCAACTGATTCTCGTAGTTGATGGGAGTCACATTCAAACCTTCTTCACTTTCCTCTTCTCAAACCATTATCTCGTACAACTTTAGGCTCTTTTCATCAGAGTACAACTCTCCTCTATCTCGGCTAGGTCTACATTATCTGGCTCTCCTTCATTGTCAGAACGAGCGCCCACCGAAGGAGCGTCGAAATCTGCTTCTTCCCTCCCCTTCACAACCATATCCCCACACACCCTTTCGCTTTCTAACATATATGCTTCAACACCATGAGAAAACCTCGCTTTCTCCTCCTCTATCTTTTTAAAGCCCTGAGTAGCCTAATTTTTGGAGAACCGAGTTTAACCCGCTTCGGTCTCCA